TGTTCTCGGTGTGTCTGAGTAGGGTATTCATGTAATTCTGCGGTATGCTATCTGAGTAGGCAAGCACAAAAAAACGGTATTAGTATGTACTCGTACAAGCAGACCCACACACGTACATGCACATCGCTATATAAGTGAAATATTTTTGGACGCGACGTCAAACCCAAATCCACCGCAACACAGCCCTCCCAACTTGTCATGGTAGCCTGAACTGCTTGAGACACAGACTGACTGACTGACTGATATAGAAGATTTAACGTGCGCTTTCCGACTGCAGCGTATTTCGCACACGGGCCTGGCCGGACCATTTAGTGTATTCCGAGAAGGGTGAAAGTGGTGTGTGCAACCCAAGAGGGTTTTTTTAGGGGTTGCTTATATTGATTTTTTGAAAATTTTAAATTTGGAATAAATGCCGAGGTGGGTGGAGGAGGGAACTAAGGGAGCCGGGTGAGGTGGGTGTTTGTATGTTTATTGGATTTTGGATTGGTAGATTAATTAGTTTTTAGATGCGCTTAATTAGGTCTGTTTTGATTAGGAATACGCCTAGGGCCTTGAAGTTTTCTAGTTTATTTTGAGGGTTTAGTATTTCATCTTGAGTAGGAACCTTATTTAGATTGAGGTTGGTTTGTAGTGTGGTTCTGTGTGTTTGGTAGTGGGTGCAGTGCGTGTTCTGTGGTTTCGGGTTGTTTGCAGTGGGGGCAGTTTCCTGTGGTGTGTCTTTTAAGTTGTTTTAGGTGGTTATTTAGGTTCGTGTGTCCTGTTTGGAGTTTTGTAATTAATCTGTCAATTTTTTTTGAGGGGTGAAGGATTTTAGGTTTGGCTAGTGGTTTTCTGAGCACTTTTTTGATTTGGCTATTTGAGTTTTGATATTGATTATGCCATTTTTTGGTTATTTTTTGTTTGTTTACACTTTTAATTTCTGATTTTGAGATGGGTAGGTTTAGGCTTATTTCTGGTATTTTGAGAGATAATTTAGCTGCTTTATCGACGCTTTCGTTGCCGTAAATTCCTACGTGGGCGGGGATCCACAAGAAGGTTATTTGTTTGCCTGCTTTTGTTAGGTCGTTGGAGCTTTTAAGTATTTGGTTTATTAATCTAGGTCGTTTTTTGGTATTTTTGTTTTGGAGGGCTTGTAGTCCACTAAGGGAGTCGGTGAGAATTAGGATTTTTGTGTTGTTTTTAGATTGTTGGTTACGCAGGGCTGAGGCCATGCCCATAAGTTCGGCCGTGAATATAGATTGGTTGTTAGGGAGTCGGTAAGATTGTGTGGATATAACTGGTTGTGTGGTATGGACTCCGAAGCCTGTGTGACACAGACACATATTTGCATTTCATATACTTGCGTGTTTGCATGTCATAGATACATTTTTCTCCTGGGTACGCACTCTTTGTTTATTTTATTTACAATTTCAAGAAGTAAGATTGACATATGCCCATGTGTTGAGGATAAATTATACTGAACTGTTATACCCGTACTGTTTCTGTAAGAGTTAATTAGCAGTCCACAGCTGTCGGCGACCACCATCCCTAATGGACATATGGGAGCATGAAACAATCATACCGAACTGTGATACGTAACATGACACTAACACCCTCGTCCCCTGGACTATATCATTGAGGTGAAAACATTTCATTGGAAATGCCGCTCAGGTAGCTCTTTGTACAGCAGCTATTGTGGCACAGACCTGCCAGGACATTACCAGCATACAGCAAACTGACGGTCGCAATGTCTTACATGTATTGTAGGAGGGCCACTATAGGACGCTCCCCAAAGTCACGGTAACTCTTACACTCAAGTGTTACCCACTAAACTTTGAACATTATGCGTATTACGTCTGTAGTGCAACAGCAGGGTGATACAGGTCGCATTCACTACTTTCATGGTGAAAGCATTTACCGATGATTACGGAAATGATTGAAACGAATACTACAGGAGGAGTAATACCTTGTGTGATATTACATTATAATGTAATGTTGTTCTATGCAACCAGTATTCCATCAATATTCCAACAATATTCCAGTAATGGTCCAGCACTATTCCAACAATATTCCAGCAATTTTCTAGCACTATTCCAGCACTATTCCAACAATATTCCAACAAAATTCTAGCACTATTCCAGCAATTCCTATTTCGTATTATTATGGCAAGTAATTGAGTGCTGGGGACCTATTCTAACCCGGGTACCCGTGGGCTTCATAGACATTTAAACATAGAAACCTTTACATAATACACCTGATCATTACATATGTGTGACCGTTATAAGTAACAGGCAGTAGTAACAGGATGTTTCCATGCCACCAGTGACTAAATAAGACTCTCTCTAGTAGGTGGGCCCGGTTAGTTGGCACACAGCTACTAACCACTCACTTTCCCAGTTATCATGAAATCGAATCTAATGCTATAAGACAAACTAATGTAATTGCTAGCACTAATTATCCACCCTAGGGGTGCAATATTTCACCATATCTGTGTCCTCATATATATATATAAATAGATAATTGTTATATTATTATTCCAGGATGGCACAGAAATGATGATAAGACAGTTTGAAACAACTATGTACATTTATGTTTGCTTTGATCAAATGGCCCTATTCACCAATAGTAACCGGTTCACGCAGGCTTGGAACCCTGGGGTTGCCTGCCCTAGGACTGACTTCAAGCTGAACATGTTCACTGTGCAGGGGAGTCTGACGGATCCGATCGAGGAACACATTTTGATAACAATCCCCTGGCTACCAAACCCGTCTACATGGGCGAACACGCGAGACCACGCCGTTAACATGGACGTTAACAGTTCCTCAAGCAGGAGCCATCACCCCGTCCATTGCCCCACTCAACGCCCTGGAAAACAACTGAGATATTCAGGAGCGCAGGATTCAGAAGCTGGACCCACCAGTACCTAATCTTCAGGAACTGACACAAGCAATGCACCGAAACTGGCAGGATGTAGGGGGACGTATGAGATGTCTCCCTGGTACACGGTATTAACAGCCTCGTCCCAGGAAGTCATGGTGATGCCATAGCGGACATGTTCAACAACATCATACCAGCCACAACTGTCTGGGGCACCCTGCAGCTCATCTTCCCGAAGCAAGGGAGTTAACTGACTAAAAAAGTCCAGTTTCCACCCTTGCCGAACTAGGCTGGAATTATGGTCTTGTATTTTGGATAGACTAACGAGTCTTAGCATTGTCCAATCAAAATCAAAACGAATCATATTCCTGTTTGTAAAACTGTCCTACAGACTTCGGTTGACTGCGGGATTTGCAAAGCATGTGTACCGCCAACTTAGCGTCAACAGATATTTTCCAAATTTTGTCTTGTTTTAATCAATTTGTACACGTGATTCGATGCACTTCGCGGACCCGTTTAATTACATTATATATCTTGATTATCGATCAGATGTCGTCACTGGGCCGCGCTATTTTGTTTGAAGCAAATGAAAGTGATATGAAAGGTGGAATCTGATTGTCAAAAGGAGGGATATGAAAGGGACATAACTCGTAAGAGCCACTGGTGGTGCTACGAAGGAACCCAGAAATGCCGGCCTTGTTCGACAAGGGAGGGAACTGGACTTTTACAGTCAGTAAACTCCCTTGCCCCGGGAAGATGCATGCAGCTCAACACTTAAATCATGTACCAATTATGTTTGTTTGTTGTTTAACGCCGCACTCAACAACATTCCATGTATAGGACGGCGGTCTGTAAATAATCGAGTCTGGACCGGACAATCCAGTGATTGGCCTCATGAGTAGTTGGGATACGATGACATGCATCACGTTCATCATGTTCTTCAACGGTGAGTTGTATCCGCTTCTTCTCTGTTTTGGTATCTTGGTGCAGTCATTGTTTTCTGTCATTGACCAGGCAGGGTTACCCGATGTGAATGTGTGAAATGCTTTGTACGATAATGATGACATTGTGTGACACTGATAATGATGGCGTACAGGTGGGCGGGTTCATCAGCTTCCAGCTACGCGTGTACAGGTCTGTTACCCATGTCTAGTATTTGACGGATCTCACACCAGTATCTTACCCGGGTATGCCACATCCTCCTCTCATCAATCAGACAACATGGTTAAAACCGTCAAAACATTTGGAGCTAATTGCATGTATTCATATTTAGATTTGTTCTAAGTGTTATTGTCAACTCAATGCCTGTATACAAGAGTGTACTGGATCTGCAGCCATACTAGACACCTCGTCTGATGTTCTGCACACAGTTTGTCGTACCGCGGACAAAAGTACATTTCTGCCTTACAAGACGTGAATATTCCATAAGCCAGTAAACGCATTATCATGGATCTTGGTTGTGTCAGTTGGTGTTGTGTCAACTATATTACAAGGTGCGGATCTTATTAAAAATAACGTAGTGTTGGTATACTAATATCCGCCCACTTCACTCAGTATCAAATCAGCGGGACTTAATGATCTCCATTGAAACCTTTTTTGGATGAAAGGCGTTATTGTAACACCGTTCAATGAAATCTACCTCAAAGACAACAAAAACAGTACACACAGACACGCTATAGTTTACAAATAGGATTTATCAGCGAAATATATAGTCACATAATCACCATCTCATATTTATCTATCACAATTTGTAATAGGTGAGGTGAAATGGGGTTTAACTTCGCGTCGAAGATTATTGCACTTATATAGCGACGTCAATCTCATTAAAATCAGATCTTAGTTCTCGCTACCGCTAAACAAAGCTTTGTTTAGCGGTAGCGAGAACTAAGATCTGATTTTAATGAGATTGATAGCGACGTACATGTACGTGCATGTGTGTGTGTGTGTGTGTGTGTGTAGGTGTGTGTGTGGCTGCGTGTACTAGTCCGGACTGATGCCGATCTATAGTGTTAACCCAGTGATATACCATGCTGCAGTTTAGCATGAATACCCCACTCAGACACAGTATACTTGTTTTAGCCCCTTAATGCCGAGCGCCAGACAGGGTAACAACATGTACCATCTTTGAACGTCTTTTGGTATGACGCGACCGGGAATCGAACCCCGAACCTTCCGCTCTCCGGGTGGACGCTCTACCACTAGACCAAGGAGGCGGTCACAATTTGTAATAACAATAACTTCTTATATAAATTTAGATAACATACACATATCTGATATCGAGCGTGATAGATATATCCCCACCAGGGGTTTGGCACATGACTGGGCATTAAAACATTGCTGCCGTTAATTGTGCTGTCTCGCACATTCCAATGACACGAATAGTCCGAGAGATACTTTACCCATGTTTGATTTGATTATGCAATACCAGTGCTGACCTGACACGAATGAAAAGTTTGACATCTTTCCCTGATAAACCTTCATTCATATCCCAGTCTCGACCCGTGATCCAATCTGCATGCCCTCTGCCAGTGACCTCCTTGGGCCTCTGGCAGTCTTCTTCTCACTCAAGAACAGAAGTATTTAGTTCCGCAGCAGCTTCTTCCTAAGTCTCTCGAACATATTCCGACTTCTTTTCTTGGGTTTGTCATCCCCTGGATTCCATTCTGGATGGAATAAAAAGAAATTACAGCCACTAGACTCTATAACTAATTTCTATAACCGAGGATGTATACACCAGATCCCCTGCAACTGTGGCCATCAGTACATTGGAGAAACCCTCGGACCCCTCAACACCGGACTCTAAGAACATCAGAACAACAAACTAAACCTGAAATCAGCTATTTCAGAACATATCCCCAAGAACCAAGACCATAACATCATGTGGGAAGCAACGAAAGTCCTGTCTACCATCAACAACTAGCTTACTTACTTACTTACTTTGGAGATTTAACGTGCGCTTTCCGACTGATGCGTATTTCGCACACGGGCCCGGCCAGGCCATTTAATGTGTTTCCGAAAGGGGCGAAAGTGGTCTGTGCAACCCAAGAGGGGGGTTTTAGGGGTTGCTTATATAGAATTCGGGAATTTTGAGATTTGGAATAGATGCCGATGGGATTGGGGAGGAGAACTAAGGGAGCTGGGTATGGTGGATGTTTGTTTGTTTATGTGATTTTGAATTGGTAGGTTATTGTGTTTTTAGATGCGTTTTATTAGTTCCGTTTTTATTAAGAATACGCCTAAGGCCTTGAAGTTTTCTAGTTTATTTTGTGGGTTTAGTATTGCTTCTAGAGTTAGAGCCTTGTTTAGATTGAGGGTGGTTTGTAATGCGGTTCGATGTGTTAGGTAGTGTGTGCAGTGGATGAGTGCGTGTTCTGGGGTTTCTGGTTGTTTGCAGTGTGGGCAGTTACCTGTAGTGTGTTTTTTAATTTTTTTTAGGTGGTTATTTAGGTTGGTGTGTCCTGTTTGGAGTTTAGTGATTACTCTGTCGATTTTTTTGGATGGATGGAGAATTTTTGGTTTGGTTAGTGGTTTGCTGAGCACTTTTTTGATTTGGCTATTTGAGTTTAGATATAGGTTATGCCATTTTTTGGTGATTTTTTGCTTGTTTACACTTTTAATTTCTGATTTTGAGATGGGTAAGTTTAAGCTTATTTAAGGGATTTTGAGGGATAGTTTAGCTGCTTTATCGGCGTTTTCATTACCGTATATTCCTACGTGGGCGGGTATCCACAAGAAGGTTATTTGTTTGCCTGCCTTAGTTAGGTCGTTGGAGCTTTTAAGTATTTGATTTATTAATTTAGGTCGGTTTTTGGTATTTTTGTTTTGGAGGGCTTGCAGTCCACTTAGGGAGTCGGTAAGTAATAGGATTTTTTTTTGTTTTTTGGACAACAGCTAGCGACAAAGAAAACTACATAAAGCCATTTACATCAGGAGAGACCAGCCAGCCATGAAACTTGACCAGGGAACATATCTGCCTTGTACTTGGGACTTATTGCTTTGATCTTTGCCAAGTATCTACCTGGCTTCAATTTGCCTATTGCTATTTCTATTCTTTTACCTATTAGTGCTAATTACCCCCCGGCCTCCATTATCCAGTGATAATTTGAGTTTTGGCATCCAGTAGTCCATAACTATCAGCGCTAAATTCTGTAAAGTGTTTGCCTCCATTGTCTATTGCTAATTGCCTATCAGCACCAATTATCTGTTGGCTTTTCTTGTTAAGTTTCCACCTTTTGTTATCTTATTACTTTTGTTGTTCTTACATGTACATATAAACGCTCTCTGTCTCAGAGCATTCATTTAACTGATTAAGGAGTAAGCTTATACTCCGAAACGTTGTGTTCATCATTATGAATCGTAAAATAGCCTACGTTGGGCAACTAATTGCCACGTATATTGGCCTGGCGGCGGTCGTGGTCATATCAGCGGTAGTTGACATTTGGGTCGGCGGCAGTAGTCCCCACAATGGTTTCACTATTTAGGACCAGGTGGTGGTAGTTGCTTTGGCCGCCGGCTACCTGGGGCCAGGTAGTGGTAGTTGCTTTGGCGGCCGGCTACCTGGGGCCAGGTAGTGGTAGTTGCTTTGGCCGCCGGCTACCTGGGGCCAGGTAGTGGTAGTTGCTTTGGCCGCCGGCTACCTGGGGCCAGGTAGTGGTAGTTGCTTTGGCCGGCTACCTGGGGCCGGATGGGGGTAGCTGACTTCGGCCGCCGGCTACCTGGGGCCAGGTAGTGGCAGTTGCTTTGGCCGCCGGCTACCTGGGGCCAGGTAGTGGTAGTTGCTTTGGCCGGCTACCTGGGGCCAGGTAGTGGTAGTTGCTTTGGCCGGCTACCTTGGGCCGGGTAGTGGTAGTTGCTTTGGCCGGCTATCTGGGGCCAGGTAGTGGTAGTTGCTTTGGCCGCCGGCTACCTGGGGCCAGGTAGTGGTAGTTGCTTTGGCCGCCGGCTACCTGGGGCCAGGTAGTGGTAGTTGCTTTGGCCGGCTACCTGGGGCCGGGTGGGGGTAGCTGACTTCGGCCGCCGGCTACCTGGGGCCAGGTAGTGGTAGTTGCTTTGGCCGCCGGCTACCTGGGGCCAGGTAGTGGTAGTTGCTTTGGCCGCCGGCTACCTGGGGCCAGGTAGTGGTAGTTGCTTTGGCCGGCTACCTGGGGCCAGGTAGTGGTAGTTGCTTTGGCCGGCGACCTGGGGCCAGGTAGTGGTAGTTGCTTTGGCCGGCTACCTGGGGCCAGGTAGTGGTAGTTTTGGCCGGCTATCTGGGGCCAGGTAGTGGTAGTTGCTTTGGCCGCCGGCTACCTGGGGCCAGGTAGTGGTAGTTGCTTTGGCCGCCGGCTACCTGGGGCCAGGTAGTGGTAGTTGCTTTGGCCGCCGGCTTCCTGGGGCCAGGTAGTGGTAGTTGCTTTGGCCGGCTACCTGGGGCCAGGTAGTGGTAGTTGCTTTGACCGGCTACCTGGGGCCGGGTAGTGGTAGTTGCTTTGGCCGCCGGCTACCTGGGGCCAGGTAGTAGTAGTTGCTTTGGCCGGCTACCTGGGGCCGGGTGGGGGTAGCTGACTTCGGCCGCCTATCTGGGGCCGGGTAGGGGTAGCTGACTTTGGCCAGCAGCTGTAGCTGGAGAGACCAGCCAGCCATGAAACTTGACCAGGGAACATATCTGCCTTGTACTTGGGACTTATTGCTTTGATCTTTGCCAAGTATCTACCTGGCTTCAATTTGCCTATTGCTATTTCTATTCTTTTACCTATTAGTGCTAATTACCCCCCGGCCTCCATTATCCAGTGATAATTTGAGTTTTGGCATCCAGTAGTCCATAACTATCAGCGCTAAATTCTGTAAAGTGTTTGCCTCCATTGTCTATTGCTAATTGCCTATCAGCACCAATTATCTGTTGGCTTTTCTTGTTAAGTTTCCACCTTTTGTTATCTTATTACTTTTGTTGTTCTTACATGTACATATAAACGCTCTCTGTCTCAGAGCATTCATTCACCTGATTAAGGAGTAAGCTTATACTCCGAAACGTTGTGTTCATCATTATGAATCGTAAAATAGCCTACGTTGGGCAACTAATTGCCACGTATATTGGCCTGGCGGCGGTCGTGGTCATATCAGCGGTAGTTGACATTTGGGTCGGCGGCAGTAGTCCCCACAATGGTTTCACTATTTAGGACCAGGTAGTGGTAGTTGCTTTGGCCGCCGGCTACCTGGGGCCAGGTAGTGGTAGTTGCTTTGGCCGCCGGCTACCTGGGGCCAGGTAGTGGTAGCTGCTTTGGCCGCCGGCTACCTGGGGCCAGGTAGTGGTAGTTGCTTTGGCCGGCTACCTGGGGCCGGGTGGGGGTAGCTGACTTCGGCCGCCTATCTGGGGCCGGGTAGGGGTAGCTGACTTTGGCCAGCAGCTGTAGCTGGAGAGACCAGCCAGCCATGAAACTTGACCAGGGAACATATCTGCCTTGTACTTGGGACTTATTGCTTTGATCTTTGCCAAGTATCTACCTGGCTTCAATTTGCCTATTGCTATTTCTATTCTTTTACCTATTAGTGCTAATTACCCCCCGGCCTCCATTATCCAGTGATAATTTGAGTTCTGGCATCCAGTAGTCCATAACTATCAGCGCTAAATTCTGTAAAGTGTTTGCCTCCATTGTCTATTGCTAATTGCCTATCAGCACCAATTATCTGTTGGCTTTTCTTGTTAAGTTTCCACCTTTTGTTATCTTATTACTTTTGTTGTTCTTACATGTACATATAAACGCTCTCTGTCTCAGAGCATTCATTCACCTGATTAAGGAGTAAGCTTATACTCCGAAACGTTGTGTTCATCATTATGAATCGTAAAATAGCCTACGTTGGGCAACTAATTGCCACGTATATTGGCCTGGCGGCGGTCGTGGTCATATCAGCGGTAGTTGACATTTGGGTCGGCGGCAGTAGTCCCCACAATGGTTTCACTATTTAGGACCAGGTAGTGGTAGTTGCTTTGGCCGCCGGCTACCTGGGGCCAGGTAGTGGTAGTTGCTTTGGCCGCCGGCTACCTGGGGCCAGGTAGTGGTAGCTGCTTTGGCCGCCGGCTACCTGGGGCCAGGTAGTGGTAGTTGCTTTGGCCGGCTACCTGGGGCCGGGTGGGGGTAGCTGACTTCGGCCGCCTATCTGGGGCCGGGTAGGGGTAGCTGACTTTGGCCAGCAGCTGTAGCTGCTTTCGGCAGCGTGGTAGTTGCCAAGCACTGGTAGCGTTTAACGCCTGCAGCGGTAGCAGCTAATCGCCGCTGGCAACGGTAGCTTTTCATATACCCAACTAGCAGCTTGATAGTTTGTTGGCCCGTGCCTCTCCTTTTGCATCACGCGATAAATTCTCTTCCTAATTTGCATATAGTTTTTTGAAGATCAAATAAAATATTTCATTTGAAGTTTTGTTGCAGCTTAAATGACAATCAACTCTTTTTTTCTAATCTGCATAACACAGGAGGGAAAGTGAGTAACCTTTTAGAACACCGTATTGTCTGCAACAGATTGTGATATCGAATAAGCAACATTTGAAAACAGGCTTGATGTGCGAATGTAACTGAAATAATTAACACAATTAATAATCGACACAATTGTTGGTGACACTTCTATGTTCTTAAGACGAGTATTAATATATCTAATAGATCAAATACAATCATGGGTAAGTCAAATTATGATTGAGCAAGAAGATTGAATGGAGACACATTTAACAACATTTTAAATATATACTCACACGCAAAAGAAACGCAAATAGGTAACAAACACGGAACCATAAATTGATACGAGTTTTAGCATGTAGTGAAGCCTGATGGTGTTATCAATATTTTTGGATGCATTTTGGAAGCCCCGAGTAAAAACGCAATATAAAAAACGAATCGCCAAAACGCACAATTTCAATGAATATGTGGGTATCATGCACCCATTTCTCGCGGTCACCACACCTCGACAAGATCGGCAGATTACCCGTCAACACCAGCGACATCCGTTCCTAACTGCAAGTGAAAGTGTTCGAAAGACCATAGGAACACATAATCGACACATTAGCCGGGACACTGTGATATGACGTCTCCATTCCAACAACCTCAGATGTCGCCGACCAGCACGTCGTCCTGTTCTCCAACCACGGCATCGACAAGCACGACTTCAGTGGGCACAGGGTAATCGCAATTGGCGTCATCGTGAGTGGTCATCTTCTCTGATGAAAGTCGCTTTTGTGTCTCCCATGCAGACGGAAGAGTCAGAATTTGGCGGCGTCGAGGTGATTGTTTCGCTGACAGAAACGTTGTGGAAAGGGATCCATGGGGTGGACCTAGCGTCATGATATAGGCAGGGATTGGACTTAATGCGAGACTTGGTCCCATGTGCTTTCTGAATGTTGGTCAAGGTCGGGGACACGGCGTCACTGCTCAGCTGTATATCAAGCAAGTGATCAGACCCAACGTTGTTCCATTTTTTGCACAACATCAACAACACATTTTCCAGCAGAACAACGCTCGTCCCCATGTTGCCAGAGCTACTATGGCCTTTCTGCAACAACACAGCATCCTTGTTCTACCGTGGCCATCCCTCAGCCCTGATCTGAACCCCATCGAACACTTGTGGGATGAGGTTCAAAGGCGTCTGCACAATGTGCGCCCAGTCCCTACAACTGCCGATGAACTACGCACAGCTGCTCTGGATGTGTGCAGGAGGATCCTTAGGGCCTTCACAAATCGTCTGATCCACTCAATGTACAGGAGATGTGTTGCAGTGATCAATGCTAATGGTGGTCACACCAGGTATTGACTGACATTTTGGGTATTGACCCGGAACTGTGTAAGCCCTTAACATTTGAAAAAACAATTGTCATCTGCCTTTTAATCCATTAAACTGTCTTCAGTCAAATCTTTGTCAATCTTGCCCTATTAGTATTTCTTGTCTTTACTGTTGAAAAATAAATAACATGTATACTGCATACTCGACTTGCGTTTCTTTTGCGTGTGGGTTTAAGTTGACCAAATCCAAATATACCACGTGTTTTATTGAAGTTTGGTCTCCAGACGAGCCCACCCCTATTCCCGTACACAGCTGTGTCATGATGGAGATCGTGGGAAGACACAAAGTGGGGGCGACCTCTGTACTGCTGAAACAGACAAAATACACGATTATCATCTGCGGCAAATATCAGGAAACTGCTATGTGGAATCCTCTGTAGGTAATATCTTACTGTGATCTTCTGCAGAGAGGAGACGATTTCATTTCCAGAATAGTCCATGTTGGAGCAAAGTTCATACATACATGCATGAACGCACACACGCACGTACGCACGCACACACACTCACACACATGAAAGCAGATATATATAACCTTTTAACCTTTGAACATTTTTTGGCCAAAGAATGTAAAATGCCGCGAATGGGTGTCCTACCCGCGTCGGGATGGTGGAAATAAGTAACCATAAACATGTACAGATTGCTCCTAACACTGTTCATGCTGAACATCGGCACTTGGAATACCAGAGGTGCACTGTACAGACGCCAGTTGAAAACATAGCTAACAAATGATTCATGTTCTCCAGAACTATAAAAAAAAAACAAAGAAAAAAATCGATTATAGTGCCCTTTGGGCAGAAGGCATGCTTCAACGGAAAAAAACTCAATCAAGCCCACCAAGGCTAAAATCGAACAGAAAAGACAAAGAATTGCCTCACCAGAGTCGAAGACACAAGAGAATAGAAGACCACAAACCAAATGGGAGAAAGGAGTCTTCACCACAGACTTCTCCCAAGATGTTAATAAGATCCCAACAACTCAAGATATTGCCAAAGAGCTGAAGGTTATGTTGTTGTCAGGGAAATCCTTACAGAGTCAATTGACATGCCCAAAAGCATAAACGAAATCAAACTAAAATGGGCTACCCCCAAGTAGCTTAGTAATGTCAGGTGCGCTTTACAACTGGACAAAAAATCAATGACGACCGGTTTTATCAACTTGTCTGTCCAGCTCAAAAGAAAATCGCTCAACCAACAATCCCGTCGGCGTTCAGGATAAAATCAATGTGCACAACCAACACACGAGTACTGATACTCACATTACTAGGCCAGTCAGTCCCAAACCACCTTAATCTAGGTGGTAAGGACATAGAAACTATGCCATACAGGAAAAGGCCACCCCAATGCACAAACTGTATGCTCTATGGACATACAAAAACATCATGCAACCATCAACCCAAATGCAAAACGTGCTCCCGAGTTTATTGCAAAGAAAACGGCAACACGTGGTTAACAAACATGTAGAATATGAAGAAAACAGATGTAAAAAAACCCGGAACGTTTTACGGGCAATTTCAGACACATTTTGGGGCACATCGAGGGGCACTCAGCTGGACCTCTACAAACCACTTGTCAAAATTAGACGATGGTTGTGAGGCCTTTCACTCAGCATCACATAATGTCTTGAGCCGCCTCGACAGAATACAATACAAAGCCACGATATAATGCTGGCCACAGGTGCAGCAACAGGTACATCGCTAGAAGCACTACAAGTAGAAACAGGAGAACTCCGATTGAAACTAAGAAAAGAGCAGTCAATATTATCGTTCTGGGGACGAACATCAAACCTTTCAGTGGAAAAGATATGGCAAGACAAAACACCCGAGATGAAGCCGCAGCTCGGAAAAATCCCTCACTAAAGCCCTCTGGGATATTAGTACGAGAACTCATACGAAGTGACAATTGTGATGACATTCAGCCACCAGAAATTGACTACAAAGGATTACACTCTCCCTGGACTTTAAGAACTCCCAAAGTTGACACCCCTTTAACATCAGAAGTCACTAAAAAAGAAAACCCAACCCAACTACGATCAGTAGCTATCACTAAAATTCAAAGTACCTGGGCCCACATATACACTGATGGATCCAAGAATCCCACCAACAACAGTGCTGGTTACGGGATCCATATCCACAGCTCCAAACCCCAGGCACATTCGATCCGCTTGCCTGATGGTCAGTCAGTATTCACTGCTGAATTGGAGGCAATTCATCATGCACCGGAGTCATACCGGAGTTACCGGAAGCAAAGGCAGTCATCCAATAAGACTCGCTAAGTGCACTTCAAGACATCAGCGACAAAAACTCAAACTCCAGGCCAAACACAGTTAATAATATTCTATACGAAGATACAAAACTATCGGACCAAGAGAAACAGGTGGAGCTGTGGGTCCTTTCTCACATGGATATTCATGGAAATGGAAAAAACCCAGGCACACTGGCGAAGCTGGCTCTTGACAAAACGGAGATACTGTCTATTCCCTTCAGTAAACTAGAGATAAAAATCAAAATCAAAGCCCTTATAGCCCAAAGATGACAAGCCCAGTGGGACTCAAGTAAGATCGGCAGATGGCTATACAAAATGCAACCCTAGATCCACCAATAGCCATACTCATACTCAATTGAAAGGAAAGTTGAAATTGCCATCTCACGCCTCAGACTCAGTCGCAAAAAGCACTATGACAAGGTATGTCCATCTTGCAATCAACCTGAATCCATTGCTCACTTGTTACTGGAATGTCATAACCATGCCCCACCCCGGGCTCGGCTAAAACAAGAATTACAGTTAGATCCGCAATCTGTCGTAGATCTGCTAAAGCCAAGAGATACAATAGCGAAGGCCAAACTAACTCTATTTCTAAGATATAAACAGAGCAGTCAAAGATAAAAATGAAATTATATCAATATACGAAGAAAGAAATGAAATCAATTCAAAAACATAAAAACACTATGAATACCAAAAACTCGCAATAGATGTGTGTACCCTACTCACACACAGGAGTCCCAAAGAGGGACAGGTCAGCCGAAATCGCTGAGGCAGAAGGCGACCTCTTAAACACTTAAAGCAACAATAACAAGAGTTTGGATCATAACCATGGCGCGTTTAAGGTTAGTAGAGTATGTAACATCGCAGCGAGGCACACTACATGTTCTTTTTGAAGGTTACTTGTATAAAAAGACCACCACTCGACAGACTTGTTAACACTGGAGATGCATCCATTAAGCCTGCTACTGAAGCAATCTAATTAATATCAGATCTTAGTTCTCGCTACCGCTAAACAAAAATCAGAGCGTCGCTAATCAGATCATGAAAGTGACAGTCGGAATGTGAATTCTAATCATGCAGCTCCGAAAACTTTAAAACGGTGTATTCCGAACGATAGTTACGGGCTTAACGACTGAATCTATACAATCTAGACCATATATTAGCCATTCGAGAATGTTCTTTTGTTCAGGTTTCAAATTTATAAGCGAGAATTTGTCAAAATATGTTTCGAAACGTAGTCGCCAATTTGAAATTAGTGCCGTAAAGCAAGAGAAAGCTGCCTTCTGATTGGCTAGTATCAACTTCTTGTCAGTAATTCCATTGGTCGGTCAGGGTTCGCGAAAGGTCGGTCTGACGTGACCCGTAATGGGATGTCCTCAGATCTTTGTTTAGCGGCAGCGAGAACTAAGATCTGATTTTAATGAGATTGGCTGCTGAAGTGAAGGGCTGCTACTTCCACTTCAGCCAAGCTGTGTGGAGAAAGACACAGGCTTTTGGCTTAGCACTACAAAGAAGATCCCCATGTGAAGCAATGGACACGGCGAGCTGCGCCACAGCCACACCTCCCTCTTGAACTAGTACAAGACACCTGGTTGGACGCAATGGATGAGACACCTGAGGTTCCCTGTGCTTAGGGCTTCAAAGACTATACCCAACTGCAGTTCCTGGATGTTGCAGGCTTCTATGCAGGGTTCGAGTAAACAAAGACTATTCAGAGACATTCAATTCAATTAATTAATCACTGCTACTGCCAGTGCTAATAAAGAATTTTTAGATATTTATAAAATGATATGTCTTTGTGTGCATATACTTCACATAAATAAAGTACAAGTTTACCTTTCTGCAGTATCTTATATATACATGTATATATATCTGATATGTCCAAGACAGAACATAATGGTAATTGAAAAACACCAGCGCTACTTTGCACGTAATGTTAAAACAAATCATGTAAGATCTCCGACCGTTGCAACTCTTCAGACCCTGGGAATGTGGACTATGACATCTATGACTGACAAACTGAAGCCGATGTTCCTTGGGAGGTTGAGTAGAAGCAACCACAGATATGCCCTGAAAAAGGTGTTCTTTTTCAAGTGTGACAGGCAGTGACAAAAGTAAGTCTGTAACACATGATCTACTCAATGTAGCAAAAAAGTATGAAATATGGACCACAATAGTTCACTTAATGAATACTTACCAGTTTCCATCCAAGGATGTGTGGAACAAAACCGTACAGACTGAAATAACAGAACATGAAACTGCTCATTGGCACACGAGTCTGCGAGATCACCCTGATTTCGAGATCACCCTGAATTGAACAGATTTGGTAAACTTCACAGGAAGCTTGTACCACATATACTGTGGAATATGTGTATTTTGTACAATATACCAACTAGACCAATGTATGCACTTGTGAAGCTAGGAACACTACCTATAACGCCTGGACAGTGTTTAATGTGTGATGAGGAGTGCGATGACATGATAAAGCACCAACTGCTATGTTGTACAGCTTTAGCTGATGCAAGGAACACCCTCTATGAACATCTATTTGACACTTTAAACCTTGAACAATACATATGTATTGAGGACTGTGCACACGACGAAGTAAAATTTGTGACACTAAAATAGGTGGTATAAACCCTATTGTAGAGGATATGAGCCCTGACAGCTGGGCTGAATTCATATCTTCTGTATCACGAGACAATGATCTATCTGTAGACAGTATATCTCATACCAGGATCAAGACATGTAAATATTCAATTTCTGTGCATGTTGTTCTTGGAAATCATTCATTCATTCATTCATTCAATACAAACACATGTACATACATACGCACGCACACATACATACAATCATACATTGTATTATAATGCTGTGTAAAGATATCACAATCGATATATCTTAAAACATAATTAGTCACAAAACAAAACATCTAACATAATCGTCCATTGAGATCCAAGATAAAATTTACACAAACATGTACTTACCTCCTGGTCATCCTGTTGTGACAGGAAAACTTGGCTTTTTATATCCTCTAGACCTAGACAGTATTAAATAAGGTCCCTTAAGTTAACAAAATCACTGTGATTAAATGGCAATAAAATTTGGTTATAATATCCCGGAACGATATATATATATATATATATATATATATATATATATATATATATATTTTAAAATATTTGGTTGTAACAGAGACACGTGACATCGAATAAGTTTCTTTGTTCAGCTGCAGACGATTGGGATATTGTTCCTTTGTGTGGATATTCACGGATACATTCCTCGAACAAGGAAGCTGCCTAAAATTATACACATAAATTTGGTAGGTTGTAATTATGATATTCGCATTTTGTTTTCCTTCATTTGCAGTAGCATTGGACAGATTCATTCTTGTTCTTGTTTGCGCGATAGACGTTGTTTTCACAAGTCTTTTCCTTTGTATATTACAGTCAATTTGTAAAATGTGATTCTCTCAGGCAATTTATAAAAAGTGTAAATATTTCAGTCATTTTGACTGAAAAATCTGCCCATTTCTTTAACAGATTGACCAAAATTGATTACGACGATCAATAGGGCCTAAAAACATCACAATAGCTTATTATGTAGGATTAGTAGCCAAGCAATATAGAAATGTACTTTTGATCGTAACATTTTCGGTCTCTTGGTGATGATATTAAACAGAAAATGTCTGTCATAATAATAAAGATGTTCATATTTTTCAGTCAATTTGTAAAATAACTGAATATTCAGGCGTTTAATAAATTTCCTAAGTGAAACATTTGCACATTTTGACTAAAAATATAAACACGATAAAATAAGCAATGCTCAGGAGAAATATTTACTTTGTGTTGCAAGTCAAAATAGTGTAAATGAAAATCGCACGATTACCAAGCAAGTGACTAATCAAAACTTCGTCACTATTACCGATGCTACCCACAAAGATACTTACATTTCCTTAATATTTCCAAAACTGTATTTCATTTTGTTGATCAATGTGACCATACGCCCTTATACTATCAATAAAAGTGACAAATGCGCTTACGAATTGCACAGCACAGGTTGCGAACTAGTCTAGGTTTCTGCTATATCATCCGGGTACTCACGGGAAAAAACAATAACAAAGGCAACAACCAGTCCCGGGGAATTGCTTTAGATCAGTGCCCCGCGAAGCATAACATATGGTAACTGGGGATAGGTAAAACGAACATACAAATGACAACATATCTTGCAATTTTAATAAGAAATCTGTTCACCAGAGCAAATTTTACTTTAACCACAATGTCAGTAATATTTATGAGAATTATGCGACGTATGCAGGCTTTACTAAAATTGTTTATGTTAAACTTGTTGTAGTTTACTTGTTTGTTTTCTGTTTAACGCCGCATTCAGCAATATTCCAGCTATATGACGGCGGTTTGTAAATAATCGAGTCTGGACCAGACAATCCAGTGATTAACATCATTAGCATCGATCCACGCAATTGGGATACGATGACTTACATCAACCAAGTCAGCGAGCCCGACCACCCGATCCCGTTTGTCGCCTCTTACGACAAGCATAGTCACCTTTAACGGCAAGCATGGGTTGCGAAAGACCTATTCTACCCTATTTGTGTTGCATCAATAAGTACATATAACATGTCAGGGCCAGAGAACAACCCGTCTCAATTATCCGCCGAAACAGATTGGGCGTTAAAGGCAAAATACGGAGCTGCCCATTTCGTTTTACTTTAAGGCCTTCAGTAATGACTTTATCATTCCTACAAATATGTGTTGGGTATCCACGTATGTTGATGGATTAATATACTTACTCTTGGAGATGTTAAATATGTCATTCTTCATTTGAATGATTTCCCGTTCTTCTGCGTCCTGTAAGGAGCAACATAAGTCTCAATACATACAACCAACACACAGACATATGTGTAACAGCAAGGTAGTATCTAGACATACAACCAACACACAGACAGATGTGTAACAGCAAGATACGTATCTATACATACAACCAATACACAGTCAGATGTGTATCAGCAAGATACGTATCTATACATACAACAAATACACAGTCAGATGTGTATCAGCAAGATACGTATCTATACATACAACCAACACAGAGACAGATGTGTAACAGCAAGATACGTAGCAACACACAGACAGATGTGTAACAGCAAGATAGTATCTATACACACAACCAACCCACAGACAGATGTGTAACAGCAAGATACGTATCTATACATGCAACCAACCCACAGACAGATGTGTAACAGCAAGATACGTATCTATACATACAACCAACACACAGACAGATGTGTATCAGCAAGATACGTATCTATACATACAACCAACACACAGACAGATGTGTAACAGCAAGATACGTATCTATACATACAACCAACACACAGACAGATGTGTAACAGCAAGATACGTATCTATACATACAACCAACACACAGACAGATTTGTAACAGCAAGATACGTATATATACATACAATAAACACACAGACAGATGTGTAACAGCAAGATACGTATATATACATAAAACCAACCCATAGACAGATTGTAACGGCAAGATAGTATCTAGACATACAGACAAACACAGACAGATGTGTAACAGCAAGATACGTATCTATAGAATGTCATACAACCAACACACAGACAGATGTGTAACAACAAGATACGTACCTATACACACAACCAACACACAGACAGATGTGTAACAGCAAGATTCGTATCAATACATACAACCAACACACAGACAGATGTGTAACAGAAAGATTCGTATCTATACATGCAACCAACACACAGACAGATGTGTAACAGCAAGATTCGTATCAATACATACAACCAACACACAGACAGATGTGTAACAGCAAGATACGTATCTATACATGCAACCAACACACAGACAGGTGCGTAACAGCAAGATAGTATCCATACACACAACCAACACACAGAGAGATGTGTAACAACAAGATACGTGTCTATACGTGCAACCAACACACTGACAAAAGTGTAACAGCAAGATACGTATATATACATAAAACAGATGTGTAACAGCAAGATACGTATCTCTACACACAACCAACACACAGACAGATGTGTAACAGCAAGATACGTAAATATACATAAAACCAACACAGAGACAGATGTGTAACAGCAAGATACGTGTCTATACATGCAACCAACACACAGACAGATGTGTAACAGCAAGATACGTAAATATACATAAAACCAACACATAGACAGATGTGTAACAGCAAGATACGTGTCTATACATGCAACCAACACACAGACAGATGTGTAACAGCAAGATACGTATATATACATAAAACAGATGTGTAACAGCAAGATACGTATCTCTACACACAACCAACACACAGACAGATGTGTAACAGCAAGATACGTAAATATACATAAAACCAACACAGAGACAGATGTGTAACAGCAAGATACGTGTCTATACATGCAACCAACACACAGACAGATGTGTAACAGCAAGATACGTAAATATACATAAAACCAACACATAGACAGATGTGTAACAGCAAGATACGTGTCTATACATGCAACCAACACACAGACAGATGTGTAACAGCAAGATACGTAAATATACATAAAACCAACACATAGACAGATGTGTAACAGCAAGATACGCGTCTATACATACAACCAACACGCAGGCAGATGTGTAACAGCAAAATTGTATTTCAAGCAGGGATATTATCGAAAAAAGACATTAATACAAGGTGTGTTATGATTTGGTTATATGATGTATACGAAGGGTTAATGTCTCGGGGTAAATTCTTGGTGTTTAAAAAACATGTGTATTTATAACCACCGGTTTCCAAGCAATATATGAGTATACAGAAACGATGTGATCGCAATGCCCTACCTTGGGCTTGGACAACCAGTTACGGAAAGTACTCGCCCCTGAACTTCTTGTCATGACGCCTGCAGGGAGGTCTTCTGTATCGATATTGAAGGAAAGATGACCAAATAGTAATATGTTAAACTAAAACTTATAGCCAAAATGGATAGAATTATCATTAAACCGCCCGCATGTTATCAGAAATGAGCGAGCCAATGCAATTTGATAATGCCCTCATATTGCTTGACAACGGGCCATTATCACGCCCGTTGTTAGGTGACGTCATAGGATAGGGATAGGTGACGTCACGTTGAATAATGACGTCATCTGGTTTGTTCTATGACGTTTCCATATTTGTAAAAGTAGGTCAGTGACATTCGTGTTGATTGCAGAAAACCTTCAAAACCGAAATTGTTGTTTCTTTTTATTTGATAACAAATTCTATCCATTTCGCTATAATAACGGTAACGCTTTTTTGCAGACATTTGCAGAAGCCCTCGGTTAATAAAAGTTAATAGAAGACCTCGGGCTTCTAGATCTGCAAATGATAATGCCCTGAAAAATAGCGTTACCCTTATAGTTACTTCGTTTTAAATACAAGTAAGTCTATTGACAGATGAATTGAAACTTGACGCCACCAATGATAACCGCTGAGTTTGTTCAAGGCGTTCGAATCCGGATGCTAATACGGCCGCTTCAGTTTTATGTAGATGTGTTTCGCCATTATTAGATATAGTCGAGTGAAAGTCATCAATATATGTGAGAAAACGATGTGAAGGAAAACTAACAGGCGTGTATTTCAACAAAGTTCCTCAATATTAAACCTTATGTTCAACGTTGCAGGAACGGTTTTGAAATTTACTTACATTTTTTTCTGGTTTGTTTTGAATTTCCTCAAAACATATATGAATGTCAATGCAGTGCTGACGGCAAAGTTTATGAAGACTAGTGGCTACCCCAACTGACATATAAGATGTTAATAACACACTCGAGAAATCAGGTCTGTCAGAACATGAAGATATAGTTATGGAATTCTGCTATATGAAATGAATGTAAGGAAATTATATTGAAAGTGTACATACAATGTCATTATTGTTGTTAAGTAAAAGGACCCTTAAACTATATATAAATGTATATAAAGTTCATGCCTACCAACGCTGATCCTGTCGCATCTGCAGATAAGGCGTTTGTCGTCTCCAAACATGTCATGAAAATGTTGAAACTTAGGCTGTAGGGCCTCTACTGCAGCAATGTCTAAATCCTTCTCTTTGATAATATTCCATTTCTTTTGACTCGAAATCGCAGGGTTCTTAAGGTCTTGATAAAAGCGGACAGGTATAGTTTTGTTATGAAACATAAGCTTTGCAATGCGACTTGGATCGATTTGTGTGACAACTGTACATGCTGCACATTGTTCGCGGGATCCGCGAGCCAATTCCCGCATAGACTTCGACAATCTCCTTCCAAGATCGGGGTTAGTAGCTTTAATGAATTCAGTCACACATTTTATGTTTTTCTTTGGTGATGTTGTAGAAAGGATCTCAAGAACACGTTGGTTCCTTTCTCCATGGAACTCGTATTTCTGAATGTCCTCCTCGTCAGAATCACTAAGGAGGTCATTCTGAGCCATGACGTCGAGCAGAAGTGTCCCCCTTGTGTTCAGACATGCCATCAGTTCCTGATGATGATTGGAGAGTGCAAGGTCGAAGTTGTGAGGACCTGTTAGAGTATACAAAGGCAGATTCAAACAACACTCACAACTGATTGGGACAGGGCTGTTCAAGTCGTCTGTGGTGCCGCAATACGCCGTGCAGGTTGTGTCCCTTATTCTCAGATCCGAACTGACTAGGATGAAGGGTTTGTTAGTACCACACCAATGATTGTGGCTTTCACCAAAGAGGTAAACGTGTAAGACTTTTCTAGCCGTTGATGAAACTGAAATACTGCTGAAGAGACGTCAAATCCAACTCATAATGATAAATACCACCGACAAATAACAAGGGGGTTAATGAAAAGATAGTGAAGATATAATGACGATAACGTACGTAAAATTAATTTCGGGCGAGTAGATCATTATCTAGTGTGTCCACCTTGTTAGGTGATACTTGCACGACACCTTTATGGCAGACGTTTTGATTAACTTATGGTTGCCCTTGGTATTGCCCGCCATTCTGCCTGAAGAACTATCCCAAGCTGGCCCACATTGGCGGGTCTCTGGCGTACACTCTCCGCCCGTGAAAATCCCACAGATGCTCACATATAGAATACTAAACGAGCTCCCGTGTAATACCAATTTTATGAAACGAGTGAATAGTTCTGGTATCTGACGAGCGAAAGCGAGTCAGATACCACAACTATTCACGAGTTTCATAAAATTGGTTTTACACGAGAGCGAGTTTAGTATTTTATTTATTACTTGTCATTTATAATGTTTTTAGAATTATACTGTTGAGTGTAAATAGGCTGACGCCTACACGATCCATGGCATAATCCAATTGAGTTTCACAGAATAATACTTCAAACACGTCAAAAGTTGAAACGTATGAATTTAATATCATACAATGGTCCAGCTTTAGAATTCAGGCGTTCGTCCCACAAAATTATCGTAGTGCTAAGGCTATCACAACTCACATAATTTAACTAAGACTAACGACTGTCGTTGCGCTAGAGTACGATCGCCTTGTGGAACGGGGCCTTGCACATCAAAGTTTACAATCACGTCACAATACCCGATGACGTAATTTGTGGAATTTTGTTGCAAGATCCATCGGCGAAACAATGCCATGTGACGTCAGCCTAGCAACAAGGTTGCTGGGGTCATCGAGTGTGCATAAGCTCCTCCCAGTGATCTATCATCTCCACACACAATGTCGTTGAATACGCCATGGGATGTTGAGAGCTTTCAATATTTGTTCGTGAAACGTGTTCCGAGAGTACATAAGCACGCGTTTTGGTATTACACAATGTGTAATAAAGCTGTATGTTTATTAAACGGGTGATCTCTTCACGGGCAAGTAATAAACCATGATACCACCGCCTTCATACCGATCATGATCAAGAATTGGTTGCCCTGGCATACCGATCGCCGCTATGTCGACAACAACTCTGTGCAACGGAGCCTAGCTAAAACTTGATGTAAACATGGTGTAATGCCATTGGCGCAAAGCCCGTCCCTTGTGTTGCCGAGCCCATCCCAATGTTTGGCGCCTGTGGCTAGCTGTTAGGGCCACACCCTACACGGGACGCCTTGGTTTCAGGCGTGCTGCATAGAACCGGTATATGTTGAAATTCGCTTTCCTGTTATTGTACGGAATTCTGTATTGATAACAGGAACAGATTTGAATCAATTGCGGAGTGCAATTAATGGAATGAGACGATCTTGTCAAGGTGCTGTTGCCACGTCCAGTTCTCATTGCAATTCAACATTACGCCATTTTGTATGTTCATTGAGACACTGTCTCGGAGCTATTGTAAGCGTGTTCTTAGAAATTCCCATCTCCCATTTTCTACTGCTGCTAAAATATTTGATTCAAAGATTGCTCTTGTTCTTTTATATGGCTCAGAAATTTGGGGATGAAGAGGTTCAGAGTAATTTCTTTAAAAATGTTCTTTCTGTTGGTAAAAGAACATTAACAAATGCAGTTCTAGGAGAGCTGGGAAGAACATCACTGTGTGTACACTATTACAGTCGTTGTATTAAGTACGGGTGTGGTATACCTGTTACCATATGTTAAAAGTATTTGGCGAAACTAACTGGGTTTCTTCTATAAGACAATTATTGTTTCAAATTGAGTTTTCACATGTGTGGTTGTCTCAGGATTGCAGTGATATGAAATGCTTCATGGTTATATTCAAACAACGATGTAAAGATATAGAATTCCAAAACTGGCATTACAAAATCTCAAATTCTTCTTTCCTCAATGTTTATTCATCTTATAAATCACTACTCGAACCAGAAAAATATGTATCTACTTTACCATGTGAAAGATATCTTCTTAGAGCTATATGTAAATTCCGTTGTTTAAGCCATAATCTAAATTCACAGAAAACTCGATTTAATACAACCACAGAGTCATCGTTTAGTTTATGTATGAAATGTAACCGCTATGAAATAGAAAATGAATACCATTTTCTGTTAATTTGTCCTTTGATAAAAATAGCAGAGTAAATTTAATTCCAAAATGTTACCATGTGCAACCATCTGTCCCTAAATGTATCAGTCTTCTATCTACCAGAAATGATTGTGTTATTAAAAACCTGTCCATATATTTAAAAAGACATTTACCTATGTAAATACAAATGTCAAAAAAGATGAACGTTTGCTGTAAGAAAATTTGTACATGTGCATAGTATATATTATTCCTGTAAATGAACTCTGGGCCATGTGGCCTTCATTCATGAATAAACTTCAATGAGTGATTGTGAGTTCCCTATATGCGCACATACTAGTACATTATGTGAAATGTGTTTAGACGTATTGTAAATGTACTCCTCAACACCCGCTACATTCAAATTATTTGTTCCCTTAATTTCTGTCGGTAGTAAATTGTCAGTATTACATAGCCAGTTGATGTGAAGAATACCAAAACAATATAAAACACATTGTCAGTTTCCTCTACCTGTTTCAATTTCAGCATCATTGTCAGCATCTGAGAGAGGTTCGTAATCCGGTATATCTTCGCAACTTCCTTCAGACATGAAGGCCCCCATCAGCCTGTCTTCAGACCCGAGTAACTCCTTCTCCAGAATCTTCATCTGATCTTCATTTAAACTATGGAGGTTTGCTCGGCTGCAGGAGAGCCTGACTCTTTCCTCCAGCAGCTGAAGGCCATACTGAAACACCCGCTCAATGGCCTGGCACTGTAGAGAATCTGGGACAAGGCTTTGTGAAGTGAACAGCAGCTCGTGTACGATATATTTGACATATGATCCCCGGATCCGCACGATAGGGTTTACCCGAATTTGTGATAATGTATCCATGTATCTGGAAAGCCAAGTGAGGAATAAACAAACACCTAACAAATCAAGTATGGTTGAGGACTTTTTCTGTAGAACTCTAAACCGATGGTGCGTAAATGTATCGATGATTTTGATTGTGGACACCGTCACCATTGATCAAGGGAGGTAGATACGATGCAGTGACTTAAACATTTGGTTTAAAGCGGCGTAAAAAGTAACTCAATCAATCGGGTATTGGATATTTGTTTAAAGAACCCAGTTGTCAATGTTGCTGGCATCACAGGCATCCGCAGGCCCATCATTTATGTGTCGATACAATCAATCCGTGGCATGGTAAAAGGACCTGATGTAATAAACTCTTTGTAGGTTAATGATGAAATGTTTTATATGGAAGCAAAACATGTATATAATGGCTTCTTTTTCTTGATGGGACGCATGTAGCTGCTATTTAAAAGAAGTTATGAATGACAGTATTTCCTTTCTTTGCAAATGTTTTCTGAAAAGCAACAATTAATGAGAAGTCAAGCGATATTCAATATCAGGACTGTTGTGTGTGTCCCGGGTTTACCTTCATATTCTCACGTAATGCCACGTGCATGGCCCCTGTCGAGTTGTCCCTATTCCCGGATACATCATCACAGAGGTGTTATTGGATTTGGGAGTTCTGGGAAGTATATGTATTTAATCTCCTGTAGACCAAACGAGGATGTGTAAGAAAGCGTTTCCCCTCACCTTGCAGCATTTCATAATTCCATTGTGTGAACCATCGTATGTTTACAGGTTAATAAAGGCCAAAGTCCCATGTTTCCAGTGTAATTCAAGTACACGTTTGTTCCCCTTGACGGCGTACATGCACAGCAGACACTCTCTGACAGCATTAAACAGCATGGGTGTGCCCACCCTTCATACTATGTAACAAGACTAGTGGGTCATGATATCATACCTTGGAATAGCACATATAAACCCGCCCTTCCGGCTTGCAGTGACATAGAACACACATAAGGACACATCTACTTGGTGAATGAGTTGAGTGATTTCAAAACGGAGACATAACAAGCCTTCTCACATTGTTTCGATGTTGGTGACAAATGAACACTTTAACACCAAGGCTACGAAGAGTGGCGGGTTTATATATGCTATTCCAATGTATGATATCATGACCCACCAGTCTTGTTATATAGTATAAAGGGTGTTTAATGTTGTCAGAAAGTGTCTGTTGTGTATGTACGCCGTCAAGGGGAACAAACATATACTTGAATTACACTGGAAACAAGGGCCACCTCAATTCATACATATGTACTCTGAATAATATGTCACAAAACTTCGTCCATGACATGCTTTTCTATGTTACAATGAGCTACACCGGCATTTCAGAATTCCAACACTAGTGTCTAACCAGAATGTACATGACATAGACTGCATGTTAATATAACATGCTACATATATCCGTCCCCTTGAATAGCCGCCCACCCTTGCACCAACCATATACTTACCCCGGCCACTGTATACGCCTGTGGAATAACTTGTCACTCTGTCCGTCTGTGTGGTAAGTGTAACCCGAGCCTCAGCACTAGGTATCGGCTGATCTCAAATATGTGTCATAGGTACAAAAGCTCCGCACAAGAAAAAATTTTGAATGGGCGTCAGTGACGCCCAATGTATATATACTTCATACATGAAAAAGAGCTTCATTTGTTAATACAGCTGCGTCGTCACACTTGGGAATCTTCTGTTATAATAACCTCTCTAGGATGCTGAAGCAAGATCGACTGTCAGTTATCCAACGTTGACAAATTTCAGATGGGCAGCATATTGCTCAATACCGTCACGTCTCCCGTACACAGATAGGATCAGCCACACCCATGTCATATATACCACCGTCTAGACGTATATACTGACCCCCTGACCAGGGTAACACTTTCAATAAAGTTTTATAAATAGGCATTAAATGAACCAGACCCTACATACTTTTTATCTCTTATTGATAACCCCAGTATTTAACGCAGGTTCGTGTCACCACGTGAGTCCAATGTTTGAAGCCAGTTAGATGTGTCTATTGATTGAAAAGCGGTGAACAGACCTCCATATTGTTGTTATTGAGGGTGGTTGGTGCGCCCTCTCCTGTGCGTTGTTCTCAGTTAGTATCTACTCTTGGTGTCAGTCGATAGTCTTCTTACCCCCTGTCACCCCTACTGCTATATCTATACCACGGCTGTGGGCTGTACAGATAGGATGGTCACACGTTCTTGCTATGATGTACTCGCTTCCCAACTCCCGACACCTGACTAAGCAACGTGTGCTATTCCAGAAATTATTCAGGCAGAATACAATCATCGATCTCTGGCAGAATTAAATAGTCTTAGTGGTAAGTTCGTTTTAAGGAACGTATCTCATTGCCCGTTCCAGAGGACATGATAGCGTTGTAGTAACCTAACTTTTACCGTAAATATAGATTTTTGATATTTGTGGGGTTAATATCGCATGTTGGTGGGAATATGAAGCATACCATCGAGAAGAACTGTGACCTCATAACAGCGTGAAGATAGATAGAAAGGTCTGAAAAACGTAGAGCTCAAGCAACATGGATACGTACGGATACTAGTCTCTCAACTACGTGAGAAGGATTCACGGATACACCTCCTTGAAAGTGATCTGAAAGACAATATTAGTAAGCTAACATGTAAAACCAGTGCTACAGACGGAAAAATAGACTCAGTAAAGCCCCCGCTGATCAGAACTGTGAGGTCCTGTGTTCAGACAGGAAATGAGGCCCGCAGTGTCCTGATCAGAACAGCAGAGACCAACAAAGCTAAGACTCCAAGTGTTGTGGCCATTACTATTCACCACGAGAGGAACACTATTAGGGACAACACTGGGACAAGTGTACAAGTCCTACTCAACATGACAGTGTCAGCGATGACCATAACAGGGATGTTGGATATGATGACCAACACGAAGACCATGCTCGGAGACCTGAGATATTTCGACAGTGAATGGTCCAGAGCTTTTAGAGGTGTTTCACCAAAATTTTAGGCAAAACGGTTTTTGCTATCGTATGTAAGGGCGGATAAACCACTTAAAACGGTGCAAGATGCCATATGTGAATATGCGTCCATGTGTCCATGTCAGTTACGTTCCTTTGTTGAGACACTGGGAAGGCTACAGCCCTACCTACACACTGAAAGTGAACACTGAGAAGGCTGCAGCCCTACTTACACACTGAGAGTGAACACTGGGAAGGCTACAGCCCTACTTACACACTGAGAGTGAACACTGGGAAGGCTACAGCCCTACTTACACACTGAGAGTGAACACTGGGAAGGCTACAGCCCTACTTACACACTGAGAGTGAACACTGGGAAGGCTACAGCCCTACTTACACACTGAGAGTGAACACTGGGAAGGCTACAGCCCTACTTACACACTGAGAGTGAACACTGGGAAGGCTACAGCCCTACTTACACACTGAGAGTGAACACTGGGAAGGCTACAGCCCTACTTACACACTGAGAGTGAACACTGGGAAGGCTACAGCCCTACTTACACACTGAGAGTGAACACTGGGAAGGCTACAGCCCTACTTACACACTGAGAGTGAACACTGGGAAGGCTACAGCCCTACTTACACACTGAGAGTGAACACTGACAGCAGGACAGCAGAACAATTTACTGAGAATGAAAATGTCTGGACGCCAAATGTAAGATGTCGGGAATGGATACCACAGTCACACAGAAACAGCAATGGCGCACGCTAACTCATCTAACATGATCACCAACACGAAGACCATGCTCGGAGACCTGAGATATTTCGACAGTGAATGGTCCAGAGCTTTTAGAGTTGTTTCACCAAAATTTTAGGCAAAACGGTTTTTGCTATCGTATGTAAGGGCGGATAAACCACTTAAAACGGTGCAAGATGCCATATGTGAATATGCGTCCATGTGTCCATGTCAGTTACGTTCCTTTGTTGAGACACTGGGAAGGCTACAGCCCTACCTACACACTGAGAGTGAACACTGAGAAGGCTGCAGCCCTACTTACACACTGAGAGTGAACACTGGGAAGGCTACAGCCCTACTTACACACTGAGAGTGAACACTGGGAAGGCTACAGCCCTACTTACACACTGAGAGTGAACACTGGAAAGGCTACAGCCCTACTTACACACTGAGAGTGAACACTGGGAAGGCTACAGTCCTACTTACACACTGAGAGTGAACACTGGAAAGGCTACAGCCCTACTTACACACTGAGAGTGAACACTGGGAAGGCTACAGCCCTACTTACACACTGAGAGTGAACACTGGGAAGGCTACAGCCCTACTTACACACTGAGAGTGAACACTGAGAAGGCTGCAGCCCTACTTACACACTGAGAGTGAACACTGGGAAGGCTACAGCCCTACTTACACACTGAGAGTGAACACTGGGAAGGCTACAGCCCTACTTACACACTGAGAGTGAACACTGGAAAGGCTACAGCCCTACTTACACACTGAGAGTGAACACTGGGAAGGCTACAGTCCTACTTACACACTGAGAGTGAACACTGGAAAGGCTACAGCCCTACTTACACACTGAGAGTGAACACTGGGAAGGCTACAGCCCTACTTACACACTGAGAGTTAACACTGGGAAGGCTACAGCCCTACTTACACACTGAGAGTGAACACTGGGAAGGCTACAGCCCTACTTACACACTGAGAGTGAACACTGGGAAGGCTACAGCCCACCCTTCATACTATGTAACAAGACTAGTGGGTCATGATATCATACCTTGGAATAGCACATATAAACCCGCCCTTCCGGCTTGCAGTGACATAGAACACACATAAGGACACATCTTCTTGGTGAATGAGTTGAGTGATTTCAAAACGGAGACATAACAAGCCTTCTCACATTGTTTCGATGTTGGTGACAAATGAACACTTTAACACCAAGGCTACGAAGAGTGGCGGGTTTATATATGCTATTCCAATGTATGATATCATGACCCACCAGTCTTGTTATATAGTATAAAGGGTGTTTAATGTTGTCAGAAAGTGTCTGTTGTGTATGTACGCCGTCAAGGGGAACAAACATATACTTGAATTACACTGGAAACAAGGGCCACCTCAATTCATACATATGTACTCTGAATAATATGTCACAAAACTTCGTCCATGACATGCTTTTCTATGTTACAATGAGCTACACCGGCATTTCAGAATTCCAACACTAGTGTCTAACCAGAATGTACATGACATAGACTGCATGTTAATATAACATGCTACATATATCCGTCCCCTTGAATAGCCGCCCACCCTTGCACCAACCATATACTTACCCCGGCCACTGTATACGCCTGTGGAATAACTTGTCACTCTGTCCGTCTGTGTGGTAAGTGTAACCCGAGCCTCAGCACTAGGTATCGGCTGATCTCAAATATGTGTCATAGGTACAAAAGCTCCGCACAAGAAAAAATTTTGAATGGGCGTCAGTGACGCCCAATGTATATATACTTCATACATGAAAAAGAGCTTCATTTGTTAATACAGCTGCGTCGTCACACTTGGGAATCTTCTGTTATAATAACCTCTCTAGGATGCTGAAGCAAGATCGACTGTCAGTTATCCAACGTTGACAAATTTCAGATGGGCAGCATATTGCTCAATACCGTCACGTCTCCCGTACACAGATAGGATCAGCCACACCCATGTCATATATACCACCGTCTAGACGTATATACTGACCCCCTGACCAGGGTAACACTTTCAATAAAGTTTTATAAATAGGCATTAAATGAACCAGACCCTACATACTTTTTATCTCTTATTGATAACCCCAGTATTTAACGCAGGTTCGTGTCACCACGTGAGTCCAATGTTTGAAGCCAGTTAGATGTGTCTATTGATTGAAAAGCGGTGAACAGACCTCCATATTGTTGTTATTGAGGGTGGTTGGTGCGCCCTCTCCTGTGCGTTGTTCTCAGTTAGTATCTACTCTTGGTGTCAGTCGATAGTCTTCTTACCCCCTGTCACCCCTACTGCTATATCTATACCACGGCTGTGGGCTGTACAGATAGGATGGTCACACGTTCTTGCTATGATGTACTCGCTTCCCAACTCCCGACACCTGACTAAGCAACGTGTGCTATTCCAGAATTTATTCAGGCAGAATACAATCATCGATCTCTGGCAGAATTAAATAGTCTTAGTGGTAAGTTCGTTTTAAGGAACGTATCTCATTGCCCGTTCCAGAGGACATGATAGCGTTGTAGTAACCTAACTTTTACCGTAAATATAGATTTTTGATATTTGTGGGGTTAATATCGCATGTTGGTGGGAATATGAAGCATACCATCGAGAAGAACTGTGACCTCATAACAGCGTGAAGATAGATAGAAAGGTCTGAAAAACGTAGAGCTCAAGCAACATGGATACGTACGGATACTAGTCTCTCAACTACGTGAGAAGGATTCACGGATACACCTCCTTGAAAGTGATCTGAAAGACAATATTAGTAAGCTAACATGTAAAACCAGTGCTACAGACGGAAAAATAGACTCAGTAAAGCCCCCGCTGATCAGAACTGTGAGGTCCTGTGTTCAGACAGGAAATGAGGCCCGCTGTGTCCTGATCAGAACAGCAGAGACCAACAAAGCTAAGACTCCAAGTGTTGTGGCCATTACTATTCACCACGAGAGGAACACTATTAGGGACAACACTGGGACAAGTGTACAAGTCCTACTCAACATGACAGTGTCAGCGATGACCATAACAGGGATGTTGGATATGATGACCAACACGAAGACCATGCTCGGAGACCTGAGATATTTCGACAGTGAATGGTCCAGAGCTTTTAGAGGTGTTTCACCAAAATTTTAGGCAAAACGGTTTTTGCTATCGTATGTAAGGGCGGATAAACCACTTAAAACGGTGCAAGATGCCATATGTGAATATGCGTCCAT